CAAAAACTGAGAGAGAGAAAGTAGTCATCTTACCTGAGTGTTCATATTTGTGTCTTGCCAGTGAGCTCTGCTTGCTAAACATTTTATCACATAGATCGCAAGCGTACATGCCTTCCTCGGCTTCGACTTTGTGCAGTTTCCAAGATTTTCTTGCCTTTCCAGATGAACCAACAGAACATTCCTCCTCTGGACCTGGACTATCCCCCATTGCACTATCCTCACCATCTCCCTAAGAAACAGAAATAGTGTAAAGATAAATAATAAATCCCGCCTACTGAGGAGATTACATTTGTACAACTATTTCCCCCACACGCAGATTTCCGACATCGAACGGCAAGTGAAAAATTATTTGAACACGTATGCAAGCAACAGGGTCTGAGTTCCGAGACAATAAAAAAAAAAATTGGACAAACTCATGTAAAATTCATTCGAATAAAGATATCAAAATAGCTGTGTAAAACTGCAAGAAACAAATCAGAGATCATGAAATGAATCAGTTCATTTAGGTTATTAAAATGAATCAAGCATCATTCATTATCAGTGTCAAGAGGCGTTTGCAGATTCAAATTAAGTGCAAACTGATTTAAATCAGTTTCATAGTGATTATTAGATTTACTTCAGAATCACGTTAACGAGAGTAAAATAGACTATAAACGAAATAGATGTAATTTAATCTTATTTAGAAGTGTTGCTTTAATTTTAATTGATGTGCCCTCCAAAATTTCCATCTTCTCAATTTTTAGTTTTCGATGATTGATTTCTCTGAGTTGTGATGACTCAGTAGTTAAGGCAGTGAATTGTCATTGGAAGCACTAAAGTACAATTCCCAGTGGCTGCTTGAAGCCCATCTAGCTTCAGAACCACAAATGGATTCCAGATGTATAGGCGGTCAGTGAGTCTAGTTGACTACATTGCCACCATCATGCCTCTGGTCAGTAAAGTTTTAAGCCTAAGCCTCCATGACCTTATAACGGATTGTTATGGAATTGCTTTACTGTATATTTTCCTATTTTAATGAGTGTGCAAGTTTTTTTTATTCCTTAAGAGGACGCGATATTGAGGGAAAACTTTTCATGGTAAATTCTGTTTTACATTCATTAATATTTTAAGATCGAAAGTTTAGAGAAAAGCGAATTCAGATAAACATAGAGAAAATCATGAAGTTTCAAATGCTGAAGAAAAAAAAATGATATCAAAACATCAAAAATGCAAACAATTTATTGCAGGATTACTTTCCCGTTGTGTAAACCAAAACATTTCTTTCGTTATTTGTTTGTTCGTCATTTGAAACTTAATAGTTTACCTACCTGAACTCGCTTTAAAATTTAAAATTACTAATGAAGGTGAGGGAGAATGTGCCATGATTGAATTTTCCCGCGATACAGCGTCCTCTTGAGCAGTTAACACTATCAAATTTTATAAAACAAAAATGAAATAAGATTTTTAAAAAAATCTAAAGTACATACCTGATTCCACAATCTGGGTTTCTTGGCACTAGGACTATAAAGACTGCTGTCAGTGGGTTCTTCTGCGTGATAATAAGATCCCGTTGTGGCATTGGGACTTCTACTGTTGTTTGCATAACCCCCGGGTGACGACATACTGAGAGGTTGATCTGCTCGAGAAGGTGAGTGATCTGGAGACAAAACTGCCTCGACCATTGGAGATTTGATTCGATCTTCACGCGGCTGCTGCTGCTGTCCCGACATTCCCATCTGCATGTATTTATATAACAGAGATGAATGTAAACTACTGAGGCTAGTTGTTTGGGCGGATGAATCTTCACCTTGGTTATTCTGCCCGGGAAATTGTGAGAGGCGATTGCTTTGAACAGATGAAGGGCTGTCTACTTTGGGTGGCGTCCGAGATGATCTTTGGCTGAGATTCAACACTTCACTCTCCAAGTGATTCACTGGAGACTGAGACTTTTCTGGAGGGTAGAGGTCAGTATCCTCCTTTTTCAACTTAAAAGACAGGTCCAGAGGTTGGTCTTCTTCCACGTTGAGGCGGGGAGATTCTGGAATGGGCCGAAAGGGCACGAGAGGAGCACACGATGAAATAGCACCATTGTAATGAGGTACAAAAGGATGACCATTGCAATCAGAAAGAACCGAAGGGGTGAATGAAATGGCTTGTTGGCGAGAAGGCGTCGGACTTGGCGAAGCATTGCCATTCATAGCGTAGTCTTTAGAACGCATTTGCTGCCTCTGGAGCCACTCTTGGATTGTTCTCACAGAGCACTTCAGATCATGGGCTAGTCGGATGAGTTCCGATTTCTTTGGACGAGGATTCATTTGGAAATGGGCTTTGAGTGTGAGTTCACAGTCTACGCTAAGGGCGGATGGGGACATACAAACTCTATTGCTATCTTCACAAGATTCAGTTTCACTGGCACCGTTTTCACGAGGAGATTCGGGCCTGCTTCTGAGTTCGATATTACTTGAACACAGGTACCTCTCATGCTGGTGGAGCTCAATGTTCGAATCGAAGAGTCTGGAACAGTAACGACATCGATTGTCGTTATAGGGTGGAGGTGATTTGATGCTCGACTGGGGAGCGGCACTTAGCAATTCGGAAAGAAGACCATTCCGAGGTCGGGTTGGTGATTGCTGTTGCTTGGAGACAGTGTTGTCGACGATTTCGAGAATCTTCTTCACAGCATTCAGTTCTCCTTGTGGTTTTGGGCTTGATCGTGGCGAGCTGTCAGATTTGTCGAGGTGCGATGAAGTAGGTAGAATCTGAGGTGGAAGCTGCGAGTGATTCTCCACTTCATTCTCGTACCTCCAGGAAAAGAAAAAAAAGAATTCTTAGGACAAAAACAGTCATTTAAATTTCTATTTCAGTAAATATACACTTCTGACGTTATACTATTGCCATATTTCTTTTTGATGAAACTTATTCGTATCAAATTCACTTAGTACAAACATTGAGTAATCAGATGACACACTGGTGAAAAATATACATAATTATGTAAAAACGTTGGGCCATTCAGCCGGTTTACACATCTGACGTATCTCTAAGTATAAGAATCGGGCTGTCAAACGGCACAATGGTAAAAATTATATAAAATTGGGCTAGAATTGTGGGACTAAATCTACATATCTGATGTTAAGCTATTGCCATATTTCTCGCTGGTGAAACTTATCCCTAGGTACTAGAATAGGGCTGTTAAATGGCACACAGGTGAAAAATATATAAAATAAGGCAAGAAATGTATAGTAATTCAGTAAATCTACACATCTGCTGTTAAGCAAGATAAAGTCATATTTTTCGCCGGTGCAAAAACGGTCTGTCAGAAATTTTCAACTCAAGAAGATTAAAATATATTACTCACCTTCGTTGCTGTAAGAGTTGCGTCACTTCTGGAAATGTTGACATGGGTAAGTAGTGCATTGGATGAGGAAAGGTTAAAGGTAAGTAAGGTTGTTGGGGTCGACTGGAAAAACTGGAGAACCTCTCGGGAGAAGACATGTATCCGGCAGGTATCAGTGGCATCTCGGTTGGTGCGGATGATGTTATACTTCCACCGGCACCAGTAGAGCGATACTTAGGAATGATTGGGCGGAGAGAATTATTTTGTGAGTTGCCACGACCTCGAGGAGAGCGACTGTCTACTTTGCGCACCTAAAACATAAAGCGGTTTAAATTGTGAGAATGAATAGCATAATTTATAAGGAGAATTGGTACTAAATTTTGCGCTTTTAAAATATAAAGCAGGAAAATTTGAATTGTGAAAAGCAGGAATTGTGCATATGTTACCGTGAATGATCGAAATCAGGATAATGTCGAATTTCACCGGTGAAAGTCAACAATCACTTAGTCGCTATAGAATGTCCGAAATATTTGTAATATCCGATTTGATATTAATTTATTCGTTGACATCATTATATTTATTCGATATTTTAATATTTGATGAGGATAGATTAGGAGAAACATCGGTGTTAGGAGTACCGGTTAAATGCAGGTAGTGGCACTTGACCTTAAAAAAACCATAGATGTAGGTCATACCAGGCAGTGGCATTGAACCTTAAAGAAACATTGATGTAGGGCATACTGGGCAGTGGCACTTAATTAGACCTAGTATATATTTCTGACATTTACCAGAGCGACTATGCAATTGTCAACATTCACCAGTAGAAGTTAACAATAACAAATTTCGGTCATTCACAGTAACACATATATTTTATATACATGAATGGTATATTTTGTTTTCCTAAAATATGTAACATTATGAAAATGCATGGAATGCATTATCAGTTAATGAATTAATCATGAGAATGAATAGAAAGCATGAAGATTCTAAGTAGCTGCTGTTATTGATTATTATAAAAAGTTAAAGATATTAGCTAGGTTACTTTAGAAAGCTTTGAGTTTAATATCATATGAAAATCTTTTTTCTCTAAAAATACAAGTTAATTCTTCTCTATGTATTGAAGCTTTACTTGAATAAAGATCGCCAGTATGAAATGTTGGGTGGTAGGTGATCAGATGGGATAATTTTCTTAACTTTTCAATTGTTGGCTACTTTGGTTCAATTTAAAATATTGTATATTAATTTTGTAATCTTTAAAAATATTTTTGTATTTTTTCGACTACAATATTATCTAGACGGAGGTGTTATTGATAAAAATAAAATAAGCCTCGAGCTTATTTAAGTTATGACACTATTTATAGGATTGTTTAATTGATGAAAATAAAGTAGCTTTTGAGTATACTTAATTTATAACAATATTTAGGGAGGAGAATAATTGATGAAAAGGAAATATGCTTTGAGGTTATTTAGGTTATAATAATATTTAAACGGTTGTGCTAATGATCAGGGGTTTGTCCAGACATTTTGTGAAAGGTCCTGTTTTTGTAAAATTGTGAAAAAATTACTCGCAATTTGTGAATATAAAATAAATGTTAAGTCACATTCTTTCAACCAGGGTCCTGCTTTTGTAAATTTGTGCAAATAGGGTCCTGTTATTGCAAAAAACTTTTCAAGGAGTTTTTAAATTGTAAATCGATACAAGATTATGCACTGCAAAATTATAATTAAAAAAAATTAAATTTTCAAAAATAAACAGCAATTGCTGCTACTAAATTAGAGATGCAACATACAAATATTTGGTATTTAGCCTATACTGCTGGACGCAGAATATTCATTTCGGATGAATAAAGGAAGAAGTGTCTGCCGAAGACAAAACATAGTTCGTTTGCATCTGTCTTTCTTTTTCTTTTTTTTCCCGGGAAGGGTTTATTCGATTAACAAAACAATAATGAAGATAAACAAATTTGTGAAGGGTCAGTTTCTAAGTTAAATATTTTGTGAAGGGTCCGCTTTTATGAAAAGATATTTTGCGAAGGGTCCGTTTCTATGAAAAGATATTTTGTGAAGGATCCGTTTTTATGAAAAGGTATTTTGTGAAGGGTCCGTTAAACGGACCCAAATTTCTTCTAAACAGACCCCTGATGATGAAAATAAAATGTGCTTTCAGCTTATTTTGGTTATAGAGGTAAGTCTCAATAAGCTAAATAACAATTGATGTTAAGGAAATTATTAAAGATTTAAGAAAAATTATTTTAAAAATCCACACGCAGTTGTAGCTTCTATTAAATACTGACCTTGAGGTTGACGACGAGGCACTTTTTGCTTGTATTGTGTGCCGAGAAAGAACCAGAATGGGAGAATCTCCTCCCACAGTTAGGGCACATGAAAGGTTTTTCACCATTGTGGATTCGAAGATGCTCTTGTAGGTGATGTTTAAGCTTGAAGGCTTTGCCACACTCCGAGCACTTGAATCTACGTTCGGCATCATTTGTTTGAACATTTGAAGACTGTTGGATAAAAGAAAAGAAAAAGAAACATTTAAAAAAAACTTGAAATGCAATGTAAAATGATATTTTTTAAACTTATTTAAATCAGCGGATATGTCTTCAGGCTAATTTAAAAACGTGTCGAAAAATCAGACTGAATTAGCTTAGGCGTATTGTTAGAAAATCTTTAATAAATCTTTATACAATGGGTCTACAATTGGGTGAACTGTAAGCTTCTTTAAATAAATAACTGAACATGAATGGTATATTTTAAAATAAGCCTAAAGATATGTGAGCGTACTATCATAAGCCTAAAAATTCGCAGGCTGATTCGAAAATATCTGAGACAGCTGACACATTAAATCACGGAAGCTGTTAGCCAAACGCCAGGATAATTCAATCAGCCTTCCACATACAGAAATTACAGTAAACTGCCAAATAATTGAGAAAATGAGAGACGAGACAACTATGGATAAGCGAATTCCATGTATAACTCACGATATTGTAAACAAAATACCACTTAAAAGTATACAATAGTCAATAAAAATAGAAAGGAAAGAGAAAATTGTCCAAATATTGCAGGGCGGCAAAACTTTCAGGAAACAAAATATCTTAGGGTAAAACCTAACGTAGACAAAAGGTCACGATGCAGGTTGGCGGCGCACATGCAAAATCTCCTGAAACAGAACCATGTAAGAAAAAAAAATATTGTGGTGCAAAACTTTACGAGTAAAAATATCAAGATGTTGAATTTTACGTGTGGATAAATTGCTGTTAAATAAAATCTCTTATTAAAAAAATCACTAAAAGCATTTGTCATAATATACCGCGAAGTATATTTTATTAAATATTTTTTCTAAGAATTAGTTGATTTACCTGGCCATTTGAGACGTGATACACTTTATGCTTGCTGAGATTCTCTTTGGTTGTGAAGGAGGCGTTACATTTCTGGCAAGTGAAAAGAGATTCAGGAGGATCAGCATCTTTGTGATGCACAGAATGATGCTCTTTAAGATCTCGCATCGCCTGCTGACCTGAGAATATTTTATCACAACGGGGACACTTCAAGCTGCTCTCTTCTAAAAACAAGAAGAAAGAAAAAAAGACTTTAAACATTCTTCGTTCTTTTACTTAAAATAAGTTCACAAAAAAAAACTTACCAGTCAAAACAAATTATCCAAACAAGTCGTTATAAGTTAAAGTTAGAATCTACTTTAAAGGTCAATAAGTTTGTTTGTAAATAAATTGATAAATTTTATTAATATTTCATATCTTTTTTCTTCTTTAAAAACCATTAGAAAATGGAATGCTAAGCACCAAATATATTTTCCTGCAATCATTAAGTTACACTCAATAGCCCCTGACAAAAAATAATTATATAGTTACAACGAGATTTTAAACAATAAGTATTATCCCTATTAAAATAGCCATTCAGGTACTGATATTTTCACATAGGTGCATAAAAACCCACCATTTTCAAACCTTTCAAATCTTGTCTCATTGATTTTAATTTTATTTCAAATTTTCTCAAAGCCCAACAACTAGAATCAGCTTATAAGTTTTAAAAGAAATGACTACCTATATGCGCAATAATAAGTAAATAATGAAAAAAATATTGCTTGTAATAATTTGCTCCATTAGTTAACTTTAAATTTTAAAATTTGTATTTATTTAATTAGAAACATTTGAAAATAATACTTTCAGAATATTGTGCGGTGCTATTGGAAAAGACGAAGGGACAATATAGATATAAATCGAGTACAGTGATAAATTCTAGTTCTAAAACATACGACTTCAAAAAGCACGATAATAGAAACATTGTTAATTTAATTATGAAAGAAATGTATACATTTAATGGCTTAATCCATTTGTTACATTTCTAAATGCTGAAGCTTAAAATGAATTCTCACCCTATCCCTTACTGTGAAAACAAAAAAATTATATTAATATATAAATAACATATACTATCTTAATTTGTGAACGTATTTGTATTTTAATTAATAATAACAACAAATATTAATAAGTAAAAAAATATTGAATTGTTTTTGACAAGATTATCTTATTTTGCGACTTTCATTCCTTTTTACACATCACATATACTGTATTTATGTATCCTATGTTTTACACAGTAATTTTTTTTAACACAATGAACTTACTTTTACAATAAAAAAAAGCTGAAACTATCACCCGTTGAATATATTAGAAATCTGCATAAATTAAAAGCTATTTTGGAGCTTTTTATTTGCTGTCAAATCCAATAGATGGCAGCACAACCACTAAGTTAGATCGTAAAACAGAACACCCAAGAGAGTATGACTTGCTCCCCATCTTCTCCGCGCGGTGATATTCAAGAGCAATCTTCATCCCCATCTTCTTCGCAGAGATTTTATGACACGCGAGAATCATCTTCACATGCATATATTTCGCAAAGTGGCGTCGTACAGTAAGAAAAGATAAGAAAGATAAGAATCACCTATTTGCATGTTAATAAGTAAAGCAGGTTTGCGATGCTTTGGAAAGCCGATGTGATTGTTCAGGTTTAGATAAGACTTTTTTTTTCTTTTGGATACTTTGTTTAAAGATATCACCAAAAATAAATGCGAAAATCATAACAAAATCACAATTTTTTTAAAATAATAAATTAAAATATAAATAGTACTATTTTAGGAAGTGGGTTTGAATGCAGGCTTTAATGCTTCTGAGCAGGAATTCTTTCAGAAGTTCAGGTCTGTTGGCGGAAACTTCTAAAATTATTTTATCCGAAAAACTGACCCTTCAGAAATTATTTCATAAAAAAAAAAAACGGACATTTTTTATTTTTAAATATAAACTTTTCAATTTTTTTTTTTTTTTAAAGAGCCAATGACGTCGTAAATTCATAATTTTAGAACTAAAACTCATATAAAAGAAAGGCATGGCTTTTATCTTTTTAACATTAAAACAGGAAAATGGCAGAAAGAAATTCAATGCCAATTTTACACACAGAAAATTATGAATAAATTTTTCACATTCAAAGATGCAGGGTCTTTAACAAAGATTTAGACAGACAATTTTTTCCAAAATCACAAAAACAAGGCATTATTTTCTAAAACTCAAATAACAATGAGTAGATTCTTCACAATTACACAAAAGCAGAATTCCCGAATAAAAATATGGATTTACTCTTGGCAAGCCTTCTTAAGTAGAAGTTTCAAGAAATATTTGAAGGGAAAAAAAACCTTTTATAGATCAATTTTTTACGACAGTAAATTACATAAATGAAATTTTAAAAAAACCTCAACTTCCTAGTAGTAACAGTAAACAATTATAAAAAGGCAAATAATACTAGTTTTTGAGAAGTTTTACAGCAAATTTTATAAATTTCGTTTTGTTTAGTTTATTAACCTATTTACTATTTACTACATTAATTTGATTCTAACGGGAAAAAAAAGATAATATTTTATAGTTAACTGTGTTAGTATTAAACTAAACATGAACGAAAAATAATCAATAAATCTTCGATAAACCGATGATAGATTAGTCATCATTTCTTATTCTAAATATAATTTTATGTTGAAATAAAGATGATAAATTTAAAAATATATATATTTTCATACCGGTAACAATACAAGTAAAAATATATTAAGATGTAAAAATAATAGAATTAAATATTTCTTTATACATTTTTTCCCACACCATTGCTTCAAAGAAGAGTTCAGAAAAGAGACTGTTTAGAGAAGAGGACTAAAGGCGCTGAATTAAATAGGAATCTAAATATGCCATCAAAAAGTAGTGATAGGCTCAGAAGAGATTTTTTTATAAAATATATTTTTCAATATGATTTAACATAATTTAAACTATGTAAGATTAAAAAAAAAGATATTAACGATAGTTAATAGTAATAATCGACAAGTAAAATGAGTAAACGAACGAAAGAATGTGATGAGTTAAAAAAGTTAATTTATTTTAAAACAGTTGAGGCTGATTAGGACTGAACAAATAAATAAAACGTTTATGTAATTGAGTAGAAAAGCTATATTAATGACTGCTCCATGATTACAGCGATAACGAAACAAAATACGAGACGCATTTATGCCCGACGTATTTTATGCACAAAAATATTGCGTTTATGGTTAGATGGCTGCCAAGGCTAGAAAAGAGACTAACTTATTAATTAACTTAAAAATGGGAGATGTTCTTTTAAAGGAAGAAATATTGCATTCATGACGACGGTCGAAAAAAACTTATTTCAGCAGGTAACTAAATAAACCGATAAGAGTCATCATTTTATGAGTAGAAATATTGCATTTACATTAATGTTAAGGCTAAAAAAAGACTAATCTATCAGGAAATCTAAACAAACCAAAAGGAGACATGGTTTTATGAGTAGAGATACTGCATTTACAGTTACATGAATGTCAAGAATATAAAAAAAGAAAGCTTATTTATCAGGTATGCAAACCAATAAAATACGTGATTTTATGGGTAGAAATATTGCATTTTAGAGAATTTTTTTTCATCTATCAAAAAATAAGAGACTAGTTCATTAGACGGCAATGCAAACCAATACGATACTTGAATTTGAGATTATAAATGGCTAGTAAGATTGGTATTAATATGAATAGTATTGATAGTAAGATGAAAACTAAAACTCAAGTAATTAATACAAGACGTTATTTTACGAGTAGAGGTAATTTCTTTATGATGTCAGTAAACGTAAGTTCAACAGGTAACTAAAAAAAATAATATAAGGCGCTGTTTTTAAAAATACTTTAAATTTTGTTAAAGACAACTTCATAAAATTAACTGCAGAAATTAATGAAAGTATAACACACTAGGAACTAAGAAATTTTAGTACGAACCTTCATAAATATGCATTTCGGGGCAATTTTATAAGAATCTTTGGATGATGGGGATCATCTAAGAGAACATCTCTTAGTGGTTTGGGGGGGGGGGCGGATTCAGACCGCACAATGCATTGATGAATAAAGTTGGTAGGGAAAGACACAAAACAGGCGCACACAATTTCTCAACACTGGAATTGCGCGGGTAGAGTTTGAAATATAGGGAGGAAGAACTCCCTGAGGAAAGATCTTCCCAAACCACAGACTCTGGTCCAGAGGGAATTAAATAGATGGGTGGGAGGACGTCGACATTCCAGTCACGTGCTATGGATGCTACTGGACGTGGACAGAGAGGCGGTTGCCCCGGCAACGCCAGCGCCAGGTACGGAAGGGGACTGTTTCCTAAATCAACAGTAAAAGGAAACTTTCGAGGACCTTCAACACCGAAAAGAAAAATAATAATGCAGTCTCGGTTCAGAAGAGAAATAAATGTAAAAAATATTCATTTTTTAAAAATAAATTTTTGGAAACGTTGGTTTATTCGAACAGAAAACAATCTTCTAAGTAAATCAACCCAGAAACAAATAGAGTAGATATTGTAGATGTAACAATATTTCTATTGGTTTTAATATGACTACTGGATTTATTGTTTAAAACTTTATAGACTTTTTGTTCTTTAATCGTAAAGTTAAGTTTTTTAAAATGACTAGAATGAAAACTTCATATAAAAAGTGCTAATGAAGTACATTCGAAAAGTGATTAACCCTATTACTTAAAAAAAAGCATAAAAAAAGTAGCTATCATTATTGAATTAAATTCTTGATCTATTTAGTCAATCAAAATATTGCCTTCAACGTATTTCTCTCTTTTGTTAAACGAACACAAGCTATCTTTACTTGCATGTGACACATTCATTTAGTGTTTACTAAAACTAACTTCTAACATTTAATTAATTTAGTTCAAAATCAAAAAGTTCAAGGTTAAAATAATAATATTATACCATAAATCAGTCAATGCTATGCATCAAAATTACTAATGTAAAATCTCTATTCTAAGAATTTTTTCGTACATAAGAAAAATTTTAATTTCCTAAGTAATAAAAACTATAGTAAATAACTCAAGACAATAAAATTTAATTAATATTTTTTATTTTATTTATAATCGTACTTTATTCATAATTTTAATTAAAAAATTATCAATTTCCCTGTATTTATAACTAAACAGCCTTTTTTTTAATATAGCCAGTACTATACTAA